ATATATATATATATATATATATATATATATATATATATATATATATAGGGTGTTTCACACTCTCCTTTTGTGGAGACGTAGAACAGGTTGAGGTGTACATAAAAGTTTTATACCGTTTTGCGATATTCGTAATAATTATCGAGATATTAATTGAAAACTTGTAAATAATCATGCAGAATATGATAAATGAGTTATAGTAGCGACGACTACCGTCGTCTACTTATACTTTAGATCAAATTGAACAAAAAAGTGCTCTACCATTTTTCAAATAATCACATAGATTTTAATTATTAAAGAAGATGAGTGCATTATCACGTAAAATCGTGCAATAATCTTCTTTAATAAATAATTAAAAATCTATGTGATTATTTGCAAAATAGTAAAGGACTTTTTTGTTTAATTTGACCTAAAGTATAAGTACACGACGGCAGTTGTCGCTATTATAACTCATTTACCATATCCTGCATGATTATTTACAAATTTTCTACAATTAATATCTCGATAATTATTGCCAATATCGCAAAACGATATAGGACTTTTATGTTCACCTTAACCTGTTCTATGTCCCCACAAAATGCCCGGAGAAGAGTGTGAGACACCCTGTGTATATACAGAATGTTTCAGAACACCCGTACCACCTATTTAAAATAAAGGGATCAACATTTTATTAAAATTTAAAAACATTTTTTCACTAAGTCGAGTATGCTCTATTAAATGGTGCTATATTCAAATTCCAGTATTGACTGGAAGTGGGTTATTTAGACCGGAAGTTTAGTTTTTTAAATGGAATACCCAATTTTTTTGTAGATTCTACGATGAAAAATACGAAACTTATGTTTGAAACATTTTTTCCGAAAATGAGTCCACCGACCTTAAAATGACATTGAAAATTTATCAGCTACCAGACCTCTTAAGAACTTCCTAGCCGCAGTGCGATAGTCGCCTTCGTATGATTTGACTTTTTAATACTCCAAGTACTGAAATAAGTACTTCTACTTAAGTATCTTACTTTCAATTCTGAAAGGTTCATAATGCTTTTGTTTCAAAATACATTTTGTTCCATTTCGCTACGATCTTTCGTTTCTTTGATACAGTTTAACAAAATTTAGCAAAACAATTTGCTGCGGATGCTACAACACTATGTCGTTTTTATCCTCTTTGACTCTATTTTTTTCCAAATTATGACGTGATAGCCAAATTTGGACAACGGATTCGTGTTCAACGGACAAAAATCTATAAAAATTGCCTACTCTCATTACTTCCGCAGAAAAAAGTTTGATTTTTGCAGGCTAGTATTATTTGTTGCCGAGTGTACTTTAAAGTTTTAAATTATATTGTATAAGATGCGAGTAAAATAAACAATATATAAATATGATGTTAAAAAATAAATTTAATACAGTATAAGATATATTTATTATGTAAATATACCCCATACAGCACAGATCTTGTAACGACATTGTAGCAACATTGCGGTAACACTGCTGCAACTTTTAACATTGCTGCAACGTTGCAGCAATATTGCTGCAAAATCTTTGCTATATGGGACAAGGTGTCCCGCGTAAGAAAAGAAAAATATAAGTAGAACACATAAAAATGAACAAAAATTGTGTAGGTCATTTTTCAAACAACTATGTAAAATTTCGAGATATTAATTAAAGTAGTTGGGCATATCAGAGCGCGACGACGCGGAACATACGGCTTGCCGCGGCCGGCGAAGAAAATGGAAGAATGCACACGTACAAGGACGCACACACGGAGCTACTCATTTCAGTATGCCAAACGGCCCACCTCTCTGGCCTATAAGATAGGCTCGCGAGCAATCTTTCATTTTCTTCGCCGGCCACGGCGAGCCGTATGTCCCGCCTGCCATGTCGCTGTGCTCTGATATGCCCAACTATTTTAATTAATATCTCGAATTTTTATGTGGTCGTTTAAAAAATGACCTATACAATTTTTGTTCACTTTTATCTGTTCTACTTATATTTTTCTTTTCGTACGTCTTACGCGGAACACCCTGTATAACATTCTGAAATATACAGGCTGTTGAAAAAAAGGATCACATATTTTGATAGCAGGTAGTATTGATCAAAACAAGAAGAAAAAGTCTAATTAACATGGGTCCTAAGACTAATATCTTCTAACAAGGGGAACCCGGCAGTCTCTCATCACCAATTTGAATAAAATTTTATGGGTGTGTAGTATGCACTCATACATTTACTCCTGTAAAGCCGTAGGACCCACTATTGAGGCATTCTCGAGAAATATTTTTTTAAATATTTCGAGAAAAATTTTTGTCCCTATAGTACCGTTACGGAAAAGCAATCTTCGAGCTAGCAGCGTAGCGTCCATGGTAAGACGTAGACTACTACGCTCGGGGTTGCAGGTTCGATTCCGTGAATAATTTTTTTTTTTTTTTTTTTTTTTTAAATCTTATATATTTTTAAATTTGTATATAACACAATTTTAAATCGTTTTTAATTATTTTATATCAAATTTTTTAATAAGTAGTTTGTATGTTAAATAAA